CAGGTCCCTTCCTGACAAAGGAAGGTCTACATTAAAGTAGAGCTGAAGTAAAGCTAGGCCTATAGCTGATGCCTTAGAAAATCCCAGCTTAACTGCATTTAACTTAGTCAGCTGCTTGCAACAGTGAGTTTCAAAGCCCAATTACTCGGTTCATGCTCTAATAACAAACATAGCTGCAGATTGCCCTATCACTTCCCCCCCATGCCCCGTTATGGTTAAAGCAGCATAAAATTYGTGGCCAGATCTTTGCATTTTTAAACACATGCAAAGGATATGTGTAACTTTGGATTTCTTTTCAGAGAGGTGTTGTTTGCATTGGAAAAAAGCTTGGTAGTAAAAACAAGGATTGAAAAAAATGCAGCTTCTTCCACGTACAGTAGATGAGTCATCCCAGGGTAGCTTCAATTACTGCTGCCGTGCTCAGTGTCTGGCTCCAGCAGCCATTCAGACAGGATTTTACTTTCATTAGGAAGGGGAAAAAAATACCTTGCAAAAATCCTGTATTTTTAAGCCTTTTGATTCAGAGAAGGGATGGAAGAGGAAAGGAAGCGAGTGGTTTTCCTGTGGTAAATGCTCGATTCCCTGATCAAAATAAGTGCGCAGTGAAACCCGGCTCGTGTTTCACTTGACGCGGCTGGTGCCGCGAATCCCCAGGCCGCCTTGGCTCGACTTCCAGAGCGCCGTGCAGTCCCCTTAGCGCTCGGGGCGAGGCGAAGGCCCGGCGCAGCGAGTGTTGTGGCGAACACGAAGAGCCCTCGAACATGCTGCGGCCCCGGCGCCTCTCGCCCGTGTCCCGCGGTCCCGCCATCGCCGGGGTCACCCCACAAGCTGCCTGGTTCCCGGCAGCACAYGGGATGGGAGCCACGTGCCCAGGGCAAGGGGACGCAAAAGCAGGGGATGAGCCAGCCTTGAGGACCAGGTAAAAGCAGCATGGGATCAAGCGGTGGACAAAAGCAGGAGCTGAAGTGTTCTCCACTGAGCTGTTTTCTCCATTAAACTGTTTCTGCATCCTGCTGGTTTCAGGAGCATGCAGATGATCTATTATTAATAGGAAGAATCACGTTAGAGGCTCGTTATTCTGGCTGCTCTGCAAAACAGATGAAAAGATGGTGTCTGCCTCAGCTCACAGCATCTACAGACCTGCAGGTCCTCATCACGCCTCCCTGAGGCGGCTCGGGCTCCGATTGCTAACTCTCTTCACCGTCATCTCTCAGGTTGGATCCAAGCAGACACCACGAGGCTGTTTTCAGTGCGCGCTTCCCGGAGAACGGCTTGGATGCGATTCAAGGGGAGAGACACTGAATGGCATCGATGCAGCCAAACCTCCCGACTTGGATGTAGACTGCGAATCAAACGGCGCAGGGAGGCCGAGCCCGTCCTGCCGCCGGGCTCGGGGTGTTTGTGGCCGTGCAGTAGAGCAGCACCCCGGCAAAGCGCACTGGACTCAGCAGAAAGGAGGCGCCRGGATGCGCCGGCGATGCCGCATCCGCGGCGCTGACGTGGGCAGCATCGCCCCGGACCGCTGCCCGGCGCCGAGGGCGGCACRGGGGCTTGGGAAACTCGCTTTGCACAGGCCTGTGGATCAGCCTTTCAGGTGCCATTGAGGAGAGGAAATAATTTAYGAGCGCTTAAATAGACTCAAACAGCAGCACCGAAGGGCTGGTTTATGCCGCGYGGTTGCAGGATGCTCAGGTGCGAGAGGTTTGCGGTGCGGCGCCAGTTCAACACCCTGGAGAAGCTGGAGGGCCCAAGGTGGGTGTCGAGAACCAGCGTCTGYAGGAGCGGAGCTGGGCATTGCTCGCCTCCCTTGCACCCCAGATACAAAACACAACTCGGGTTTGCTCCGCTGCCGCTCGCTGGATTCAAAGGCCGGGCAATGCGGAGGATGAGGTGGGTTAGAGAGCTGGGGCCCCCTTCAAAATTCAACGTTTGGCACCCACGGCATGTGCAGGTGTTGGAGCCCTGGGCGATGCAGAGGTGGCGATGAAGGGGGTAAGAGCACAAAAAGCCCTTTTTTCCATTGCAGAGCAGCCCCGTGGCGAAGGTGGCCRTGAGGAATGGCAGGAGGTGACTTCAGCCTAGGATACAAACCTGGTCCCTGCTCTGCTTTACGTGGTGTGCTGGGATACGGGATGCCCATTGCCTGAAGGGTAAGTGGTKAGGAACCTGTTGCAAAATAGTAGAAAATGCCTACTAGGTAGGAAGTAAATTTCTTTTTATATGTAGTTCTCCTTTAGAGTTGCTATTTGGAGCAGAAATCCAAGGATAATAAATTTTGGATAAAAGGTTTTCATCGTCGTCGTCTTCCCTTGTTTCAAGACGCATCGTTTTTGGAAGGGATAAGCTTCACAAATTTCCTGCACAATAATCCCTCCTGGCAGAGGACCTGGATGAGATCCTGGCCTTTTCCACGTTTTTCTCTGCAGTTTCTCTGCATCTCCATTCTCCAGCCAGGATTTAGGCATCTAAGTGGATGTTCTGCAGCCTTTTAATTTCCCATGTGTTTCTGCGTGCTGAAGGCAGGAATGCAGCCAGGTGGGAGGCAGCAACGCCTGGCATTGGCGCCTGGCCACACAGGGCCTCGCACACTGCGCTCGCATAAACTCCTGCCCGCAGCCGTGACACGTTAYTTATATTTTACTGCAAATAAAGTGATATTTAGGGCAGTCTCACTTAAAGCGCTGCCCGCAGCTGCCTTATCCACCGGTGGCAAAATAAGGGCCGAGCCTCCCTAATCTTGTTTTCACGGATTGGGAATGGCAAATTGAGTGGAAATTGCAGGATCCGCTCCGGATCCTGGCTTCACCGCGGAGCTCCACGTTGCTCCATGTCACCACTCGCCCTGTGTCACTGCTCACTCCCCCATGTCACCGCTCGCGCCGGCAAATCCCGTCCCCGCGGCGGCCGCTCGGGATTAACGCGGGGCTGGCCAAGCCCCGCTTAGCGGTGTCGGCACCGAGGTGCGGAGCTTACCGTGCGCGGCGGGAGCCTCCCCAAGGACGAAGCGCGGGGCCTCCTGGAAGGCTCCGGCCGCCGCGCTGCACCCGGCGGCTGCCAGCGCTTCGGGGCCGTGAAAACGCCGCCCGCGCCGCGGCTTCTAAATATAGCGCCAGGCGCCAGGCGCGCGCATCGCGCTCCCGGGAACGGCTGCTGAGGGCTCCGGAAGATGGAGGCCCTCCCCCGAATTCCGGAGGCCGGAGGTGTCCGTCTTGCAGGCCCTTGGCTGCGTTTTCCTCCCCTCCTCCTCCTCCCCCYCTCCTTGGCCRTATCCAAAATCAAGGGCTAGCAAGGGGAGCCGCAACCCCAAAAACGGGTTAAATTTCAGGGTTTAAAGTCCCGGTAATCCAGAAATAATGCTGTGCAGCACGAGCACATACCTTAAACACAGGCATTAGATGCGGCGCAGGATGGCAAGCAGCCCCGGCGCGCGCCCGCTTCGCATCTGCGCCGGCTCCCGCCGCGGCTGCCTCAGTAACGCTGGAGCAAATATATTCCTATACGAATGAATCCTCTTTTTTTTTTTTTTTTTCCTTCTTCTTCCAGACAGAAATAGCGTTTTTAAAGGGAATGCAGTATTATGTCTATCTCAGAATAACAAGCTAAGCAATTGTGAAGGTCAGCCGGGCAGCAGAGGTGCTGCAAAAGGCTGAATATCTGCCTCTATATCAATATTCATCATCTTAAATATGCACCTCGTTAGCATTTCTGTAAGAAACGCAGGTAWGTTTAGATATAAACTGCAATTATTTCAAGCTCGGGCATCCCTTTATTTTTCTCCATGGGGGCTGATGTGCCTGGGTGCGAGAGGAGACGGTGCCGATCCCTGCGCTGCTGCCAGGTGTATAGGGCAGGCGGTAGCTTCGAGTTGCTAAATGCTAAATACCCAGCTCCATTCTCCCTAATTTCAGCCCCCTAAATTGCCAGCGGGCAGCAATAGGGGGTACCCAGAGAAGAGAAGCATTTTCGGTCGCCTCCAGCGCGTTATATAACAGCGTTTTCATCAAAGCTGCAGCCGCCGGGGCTGCGTTTCGGGGCAGCCCTCGGCCCCGCCAGCACCGCGTCCCGCCCGGAGCCTCCCTTACCTGCGCTCATCCTCGCGCGGCCGCGCGGAGCCCGCCGGAGCCGCCGCTGCTCCTGCGGGATGCGGGATGCGGGATGCGCGCGCCGCCGGCRCCGCGCGCCCTTATCCCGCTTAGGGCACCATGGGGATGAGGATGGGGATGCGGGCGCGGGCGGGCAGCGCACGATTCCCAAAACGCGGCATGGAGCGGGAGCCGGAGTCACCGGCGCGGTTCCCGCGGGCTCTGTGCGTGAGTCAGCAGGACGGGGCGCACGGAGCTCCCGCTGCGCCGCCGGAGCCCAATCGGCTCCGCTTTTCCGGCACCGCGGGGTCCTTGCCGGGGTGAGCCGTGGAGCAATCCCACAGGACCCCACCGCCACCCATCACCCCCTCACCAGCTCTTCACTAGCCCCTTGGCCAAATCCGGCCACRTTACCCCAAAAGTGAATGTGACCCCACCGTGCCGCTGGGGACCGGCACAGCCACCCCACGGGTGATGATTTCCACGGACGGAGGCGGCCTCGTGCGTGATGCACGGGTCGGGCTCCTCTGCCGATGCCCTTGGCAGATGGGGCTCGTCTCCATCCTGGCGGCTCTCCCCACATCCCTCCGCTCTGCCACCAACCTGCTGCAGCCTCCTGCTTTGGGGACGAGTCTTTCCTGCCTTACACAGCTCCTCATCCTCCTCCCTCACCCTTTCCCCTGTCCTGGGATGGAAACTGCCTCCGATGCCAGCGGGTTCCCCCACCCTCTCCATCTCCATCCTTCCACAGCGGGACAGACAGACACCAGCGAGACACRGGCAGGAGCAGGAGCTGGTTTTATTGACACCTCTGGAGCGTTACAGAGCTGAGGGAGGGAGGCAGCGGCCCCCACGGGAGCCTCCTCCCGGCMCAGTACAAAAAGGTGCTAGAAAACGCGCGAGATTCACAGTAAAGTACGAGCAGGGAGCGAGGAGGGAGGTGGCCACCACCGGCCTTGGTCCGTGTTTGGTCTCTTCCCAACATTGCAGCATTCAGGAGCTCTGTGCAAACCTGCCCCCAAGCAGGGCAGGCGGCATTTAAAAAGGAAACGTCCCAGCCCTTTCCTCCACTGCCATCAGCAGCTTGGCAAACCCCAGCAAGGAAAAAGAGCCCTCAAAAGTGGGAGCTAAAATTCAGCGCTTTTTTAAACCTTAAAAATACACATCTGGCTTTTTTTTTTTTTTCTTAAATATATACTGTATAAAATAAGGCAACTCAGGGGGACGGAAAGGATGTCCCGGGAGATTAGGTACCATATGCTGGCAGAGACCCCACGCTGGGTGGGAGTGCAGGACTTGCGGTCTGGAGAAGCCAAGATCAACATCCCGCCCCGGAGCAGAAGGCGAGCTTGGCAGAAAGTCCATGCGGCGCCGGGGCTCCGACTGCAGCAAGTTTGGGGGAAGCAGCAGGGAAGGGTCCCCCGTGCCGAAACGGGCCGTGGGCGCCGGGAAGGCTTCCCGAGGGAGAGCACCTCACCTGCACAGGGAGACGGAACCAGCGGCTTTCTCCAACAGAGAAAAACTCACCTAAGAGACCTTTGGGAGGAACTACTGCAAAACGGCCATATCCCGTTAAGGATTAAAAGCTATAAACGATTTAAGCACAGATGAGTGCGACTCTTCTCCAACACAGAGCCTGCTGGTCATCGCTTTGTCAAGACTAGACCATGTAGCAGCTTTTTGTAACAGCTTTTCCATCTCTCTCATGGAAAAAAAAAGCACAAATATAAATCTAATTTCCAGTATTTTCCCTCCTCTATGCATATTAACACTGGGAATGTGGTCTCCACAGATTGGAATCTCCACATTTCCAAGCTTTGTAGTGTAAATGTTTTCTACGTCGCTCAGTAGACAGTTAGACAGTTCCCACTGGGCTAAGCCTTGCGCTCTAGAGCTTTATTTCTCTGAGAAAATTTATAGAAAATATCTAATGGAAAATAACTTAAAAAACAAGTCGTATAGAGCAATCTATGGTAGACGGTACTGCGGAGCAGTGGAATGGCACGTGGCGGCCTCGCACGGAGACTTTGGGCAGGGAAATCACGGGGAATCACAGCACAGGACATAAACCTGCTATAGCCACTACCTAGGATTGCCTCGTCGATCAGTGTACCCGGATCACGTGCAGAAATACTTTGTAGCCTGAAAAACACTTATTCTACACACTGGAGCTTTGAAAGAAAGGTCTCTGCATCCCCGTAGCGGCTATCCCCGTGTTTCCACGGCTGTTATCCCGCACACCCAGGGAAGCTACTYGAGACACTAGGATTTGAGCCCAGCCCCAGCACTGGGTCGAGACACCAGGCACTCAGTTGCAGCCGTTCTTGGTCCTTCGCACAAAACGGTCAGTTCTCCTCTTCGGCGCGAACCGGCGGGATCTTGCTGCAAAGCAGAGCGTAAACGTACGGCCAGATTTTGTTGGTCTCGGTTCCCGAAAAGGAGTGCAGGACACCTCTGCTCCTGGAAGAGAGCGGAACAAAGACCGGAGTGGCAGCATTTGCCCACGGCCATGGAGCGTGTTGGCTGAGCACCTCCCAACGGACCCATAAAGAGCCCTGAGCAGCCTGGGCCGGATCCCAGACCCCAGCACAGGCTTAAAGGAGAGGGAAATCAGGGCCCGAGCTCCCATCCCCACCACGAGGGACCTTCTCGCCCCGCAGAGACATTTGTGTCTCGCGGAACAAGACCCGTCCCGGTCAGCGCTGAGGTCTACCAGGAGCAATGCACAGTTCAGAAGCTGCAATAGATGAACTTTTGATGCTACCTTAACAACCAGCGGAGAGGCTTTGAGGGCTGAGTCCCATCTCCCTTCCTCGCACACTGCAGCCACCCACCGACACACCTTCCTCCACCTTTCCCTCCCACTTCTGCTCCCCCATAGCCAACAGCCCCCTACATTATCCAGCTGCTGTGGGGCTCCCACGACCGCAGCCGGAGCGGCAGCACTCGTGTTCCCCGGCCCCTCGGACGGCAAGGGGAAGCTCTGCCCTCCGCTGTCCCGCCGTGCCAGTCCGGGAGCTCCGGGCTCGCGCGGGACCGACTCACCTGTACAGCTCTATCACCGGCTTGGCCGCCTCCTTGTACTTCCTGAGCCGGGCGGCCACGGCGTCGGGCCGGTCGTCGTCGCGCTGCACCAGCGGCTCGCCCGTGACGTCGTCGCGGCCCTGCGGACGAGGCCAGCCTCAGTTGCCCGCGTCGGGCCGAGGTCAGCGGCCCTCCCGCTGCCCAGGGCTCCGCGCGCTCCTCCGCGGCGGCGGCAAGAGCCGCGTGCTCTTACGTGCACGTGCGGCGGGTTGAAGTCCATGTTGTAGACGCGGCCGCTGGCCGGGTGCACCCAGCGGGCGCTCAGCCGGTCCTTGAGCGTCTCGAAGGGCACGTGCAGGCTGATCACCAGGTCGGGCTCGCAGATGCGGTCCAGCGCCTCCGCTTGGCCCAGCGTCCGYGGGAAACCTGCAGGCACGTGGGGACGGATGAGCTGCAGGGATGTGCGTTTTCCCACCTGAAAAGACACGGGAGCCCCTCGGCACAGCCTGGCCTTGCCGTGGGGAACCCTCCGCTCTGCCTGCAAGGCCGAGCTCTGCGCCCAAGGACTGGGCTGGACGAGCGCCAGGCCAGGACTGTTCCCTGCATTTCCTTGCTCAGGAGCCAGCATTGCGCTCAGTGGGCACACGTGTCAGAGGATGGTCACTGCTAACGAGTCCCTCGTTAGGAGGAGGAACACACGTCACCTATTCCGGSGCATCCCTAACAGGTGTTTGCGACCAGGCTCCCGCGTGAATTAAGCAGTGTGGTCACAACAACAAATCGTGGGGGAGAGGACAGGCCCAGGCCTGCTGCTGACCTTGCTGTTTGCTCTGCCAGCTTGTGCCCAGTGCCCTTTGCCAGCGCCTGGGCTGGTTTTTCGGGCTGAGATCAGCAATTTCATGCACGGATGAAGGGGACAGGGACTTTTCTCTGCTTGGCTCCAGCCCCGCTCTGCTCACGCGCTCTCTGGGCCACTTTATGCGCTTTCCACTGCCCAGCAGCTTTGGACTTTCTCCCCAGATTCACCCCAAAGCAGCACCGGCACCTGCAGCCTCCCACTCACTCCATTTACTGCAAAAAGCACCAGGGATCCTGTCCATGCTCTGGCTCTCCCCTCTCCTGCCGTGTTTTCCCAGATTGCTGGGAAAGGCACCGCTGCAAAGCAGTGCTCCCAGTCTGCGGGCAGCAGGGCCCTGGCGCCTTCCACCAAGGTTACGGAGCGCCGGGATTYTCCCGGAGCAGGGATCGGCACATCCGTGCCCGTACCATCAAGGAGCCAGGGCTGGCCCTGCCGCTTCTCCAGCTCYGCCGTCATGATGCGGGTGATGATGTGGTCGGGCACCAGCAGCCCTCGCTCCACGTACTGCTTTGCCAAGGCACCAATTTCTGCTCGAGGCAGAAAGAAAACATGCATGACATTCCTATTAAAAATTACATACATATACATTTATAAATAGGTCTCTATGCTCCCGTTGAAGACCTGCCCGTGCTGCACATGGCTGCAGATGCCAGCCCCTCGCTGTCCCGGCGCATCCCGGTCCCGCAGCACCACACGGAGCCGGAGCGGCCGCCCGAGGGCAGGGTGGCCCCGGCCAGCCGGGCGGAGGCCCCGGTGCAGGGCAGGTTGAGCCGAGGAATTTCCTGCCAAACGGGCCCTTTGCAGCCCCCCTCGCAGCTCAGCCGCTTCCYCGCTCCTCCTGCAGCGTCCCCAGACCCCAGGGATCCGCCTGGAGCAGCRGCGCGTGGGTGGCCCTTTGCCAGGCAGCGGCCACACGGATTTTCCTAATTTTGGGAGCCTGCTGGCGGCAGGTTAACTGCACAGCAAACCTCCTTGTCCCTCGGATTTATTAAGGGAGGTCTGGGCTGGTTTTCCCGACGCGTGGCACAGCGCGCTGGCGGCTGCCCACGGCACGGCCTCCTCCGGTGTCCCCAGTGGCATAGCCAGCGCTGCCATCCCCTGCCCCGACGGCGCGGCCAGCCCCRGTGCTGCGTGYCCCAGYGCTCCCCGTGTCCCGGCCCCAGTGGTGACGCTATTCCTGGTGTCCTCGTCCGGATGGCATGGCCYCAGTGTCCCCTGCCCTGCTGGCACAGCCACCCTGGTGTCCCCTGCCCCGAGGGCAACACCACCCTGGTGCTGCCGGTGCTCCTGTCCCCACAGCACATCCACCCCAGTGTCCATGTCCCGTGGTACATGCATCCTGGTGTCCCCATCCCACAGCACGTCTGCCCCGGTGTCCCTGTCCTGTGGTACGTCCATCCTGGTGTCCCTGCCCCACAGCACACCCACCCCGGTGCCCATGTCCCGCGGCACGTCCACCCCGGTGTCCCCATCCCACAGCACGTCCATGCCAGTGTCCCCGCCCCACAGCACGTCCGTCCGGGAGCCGCGGCACGTCCGCGATGGTGTCCCCATCCCGCGGCACGTCCATCCCGGTGCCCCCATCCCGCGGCACGTCCATCCCGGTGCCCTGTGCCCATCGCACGTCCATCCCGGTGCCCCCATCCCGCGGCACGTCCATCCCGGTGCCCTGTGCCCATCGCACGTCCGTCCCGCGGCGCCCATCCCGCAGCCCGTCCCCCCGGCGCCCCGCGGTGTCCCCGCGCGCTCACCGCCGCCGTGGCGCAGGCTCTGGCGCAGGAAGCGGCCGCTGGAGAGGCGCGGGAGGCCGAAGCGGCGCGCGATGCGCTCGCACACGGTGCCCTTGCCGGAGCCGGGGGGGCCCAGCACGACGGCCCGCAGCGCCATGGCCGCCCCGCGCCGCCCCGCGCCCCCCCGCGCCGCGGCTCCCTGGGACTTGTAGTCCTGGCGCCGCCCCCGGCCCCGCGGGCCCCCCCACACAGCGCGGGAGGCGCCGCCCGTGCCCGGGGCGCCGCGGGGCTGCCGGGATGTTCCCGAGGGAGCGGGGCTGCCGCGGGAGCCCCCAAGGGGGTCCCCTGCGAGGGGCTCGTCCTGCGAGGGGGCCGTGCCCTTCGAGGGGCTCGTCCTGCGAGGGGGCCGTCCCCTGCCCCTGCAGCCCCTTCCAGTGCAGCAAGCCCGGTGCCCAGCGCAGCGCTGGGAGCAGAGCGGGCATGGCGCAGCCGGGAAGCCCTCCGGGATGTGGGATGAGGGCGCCGGCCGGCACCATCGCCTGCTCCCACCCGAGGCGGCTGCTTGGGGCCCGTGTCCCTCTGCCACCACGTCCATGTCCCGTGTCCCTGTGTGTGCCCCGTGTCCCTGTCCCAATGTCCCCCATCCTACGGGGTGATCCTCCCTGTCTGCATCCTCCCTGTGTCCCACGTGTCCATGTCCTGCCGCAGTGTCCCGTATCCCATGACCCTATGTCCCATGTCCGCAACACAGATCCTGCATCCCTATGTCCATGTCACGTCTGTGTCCCCATGTCTATGTCCATGTGTCCCAAGTCCATCCTCACGTTCGTGTCCATGCATCTGCCCCATGTCTCACGTCCCCATGTCCAAACCCATGTCCATGTCCTGTATCGGTGTCCCTATGCCCCGTGTCCCTGTCCCCATCTCCTGGATCCCTTGTGTCCCTGTCTCCATCTCCTGKATCCCTTGTGTCCATGTCCCCACGCCACGCCCAGTGTGTCCCATCTCCCAAGCCCATGTCCTTGGGCGAGGGTCCCCACCCATGTCCATGTCCTGCGCCCAGTGTCCCCCCGCCTCCCGTGTCGCTGTCGCCATCTCCCCGTGTCCTTGTCTCCATGTCCCCAGGCAACACCCCGTATGTGTCCC